CCTTCTCAAACCTTTCACACAATTTTTGATATTGGACAATTTCAAATGCATGTTGATCAGGACGGTTGTGGTTGACCAATGCACACTCATGGATAGGTTTCATAGTAATATGAGAAAAATATGATAAAACCACTTACCTAATGAGGGAATGTTAATGCACAATGCCTGTGATATTCGTAGGTATGTCCTTCCCAATTCATAACAACAAATTTGTAGTACATCGCTGATGTCGATTAACATGTCTAATACATGAGTTAAGAAAAACTTGAATGATACAGAAATACTAATAAACTTATAAATAAATAATGAAGGTGGGTTTATGCAACATTTTATTACTTAGGTCTTAGGGTATTATAAGTAGCCTATTTCTTACAGTGAAGTTGTTGATAAATTTTAATATTAATAAATCTGACATGCAAGATCCATCCCTAGGGTCATCAAATTCAAAAAAATTGGAATTTTGGAAATAGAAATAGGTCAAACGTTCAATGGCGCATTATTAGGCTCATTTCTTCACAAAAACAGAAAGATATGTCTATTTTGCCACTTAAAATTATACTTATTTGTGTAAAAAACGAATCTTTTTTGTTACCGAGAGATAAGCCACACTCCCAAAATCAAGTAGGGTGCACATTAAAAATCCAAGGCCTATTTTACATTATTGACTTCACAAGTACTTTTTTATAGAATTATGAAAATACGTGTATTTGAAAAAATGTAAGTTCTTGCCGAGGTAGTTCGTTAGAAGATTTAAACGCGTCAAAAATGTTCCTAATAGTAAATGCGTAAACTTTAACAAAGGGTTTACAGAATTGGCTAAAAAAACCATCAAAATACTAGCAATTATATACAAATATCCCTTCCTACAGCTGATCTACTTCATGCTATAAACACCATTACCATTATAATACTGAGCAGTGTTTCAATAAGCCCATAATGACATAAGTTATATATGCCTATGGATATATAGGAGCCCATAAGTATAATGAGGTGTTTCATTACCATTAAAAATCCAAACACCCCTATTCATGCTAACGTGCAATATTTCCCTAATTTCAAAATATTACCCTCATCATATAATTTCACATTTAATATCATTTTTGAAATGCACTCCCACCCGCCCACTCACAAATAAAGGCAAAATAAATAAATTCGTTTCGGTATTTCAATCACGGGTGCATTGTGTGTTGCCTACATGCACGCAATAATGTATTGCCTACTTTTACCTATACAGGGTCATTCTTGACGAGCGTCAGTTAGAAAGATATGGAAAACCTTTGAAAATGAAGATAAACTGATAAGTTCTTTAAGGGTTTTGGCACATGATGAATTGAGCTAAAATATTTTCAAAATGGCGTCACTTCCGGAAATACCGGAAGTAGCGATCAACTTTGTTATTTTAAATAGGGACCCCCTATTTTTTCTACATTTTCGGATTCTACGTCGAATTTGGAGTACAACGATACCCATAGTTGACCCTTTGCTCCAAGGGCTTCGCCGATATTCAAGTTTTTGTGTCAAAAATTGAATTTGCAGGGGTAATTTTAAAAATTTATTATTCGAAAACGGTGAGAGATATTGCAAAACAGTTTTTAATGCTTTATTAAGGAAAGATCGAATTTTCTTATGGTATGCGTAACAGTCTAAAAAAGTGAGACTACGTCACTTTTTCAAAGCTCTCAACTTTTAAACTTTTAAATATCCGTAACTCCATTTTTTCAAATGGCACCCCCCATTTTGTTCTTCACCCTTGTTTTCTTTTTTCCCAGACCTTTAATTTGATGCAAAATGTCAAAAGCTGCTTCAAACGGTTTCCGAGATATTCCATGTTTTAGTTGCTTCTTGTGGAAAATTCATAAAAAAATTAAGTCGCTTGATGTTATTCTTTTGTTTTTATTATGATAATGTTTAAACGTCAAATTTTTCGCTGTTTGAACTTATACTTCTGGTCAATAATGGCTCGTTTGGGTTACACTAATGAAGATTTTGTGAATTTAATATTAATAGATGATGATTGTAATCGAATAGCTGCCAGGACTTGTCGTCTTTTTTCCGAAAGATACCCTGACAAGGCGCAACCCACATAGGCTACAATTCGCAAATTACTACAAAATTTGAGGAATAACGGTACAGTTGTACTCCAAATTCGACGTAGAATCCGAAAAATTAAAAAAAATAGGAGGTCCCTATTTAGAATAACAAAGTTGATGGCTACTTCCGGTATTTGCGGAAGTGGCGCCATTCTTTGTGCACTCGTGTCTGATATGTCAATTTCTCTTTGGATATCATTAAGCGATGCAGTTGGATTTGCGGCAAAATACACCAGTACAGTTATTTCCTGTTCTTCAGAGCCTACCACAGGCTTCCTTTTTTTGTATTTTTGTTTGAAAGATACTGTTATTCGTGAAATGTTGTAGTAATTTGCGAATTGCGAATAAAAACAAAAGAATAACATCCAGCGACTTAATTTTTTTATCAATTTTCCACAAGAAGCAACTAAAACATGGAATATCTCGGAAACCGTTTGAAGCAGCTTTTGACATTTTGCATCAAATTAAAGGTCTGGGAAAAAGGAAAACAAGGGCGAAGAACAAAATAGGGGGTGCCATTTGAAAAAATGGAGTTACGGAAATTTAAAAGTTTAAAAGTTGAGAGCTTTGAAAAAGTGACGTAGTCTCACTTTTTTAGACTGTTACGCATACCATAAGAAAATTCGATCTTTCCTTAATAAAGCATTGAAAACTGTTTTGCAATATCTCTCACCGTTTTCTAATAATAAATTTTTAAAATCACCCCTGCAAATTCAATTTTTGACACAAAAACTTGAATATCGGCGAAGACCTTGGAGCAAAGGGTCAACTATGGGGTATCGTTGTACTCCAAATTCGACGTATAATCCGAAAATGTAGAAAAAATAGGGGGTCCCTATTTAAAATAACAAAGTTGATGGCTACTTCCGGTATTTCCGGAAGTGGCGCCATTTTGAAAATATTTTAGTTCAATTCATCATGTGCCAAAACCCTTAAAGGACTTATCAGTTTAGCTTAATTTTCAAAGGTTTTCCATATCTTTCTAACTGACGCTCGTCAAGAATGACCCTGTATACACATCCAAAAACGGCTACTTATTTAGCATTCCCATTAAACTTCAAAATTATTTACAATTCAATTTCTACTAAACTATGCAGTTGATTCAGTTGAATAACAGAAATTGGGCAATGTATTTTCATAAATGGGCTTTACATAAAGGATACGTGGTGTGCCTTCTGTTCTGCAAGTCATATAGACACATGCTGCAAACATATGAGTGTTCTTTCTTCCACGTGTCAAATTACGGGCCAATGCCATTTTAAAAAAATTACACGCAGTATCTACACAGTGCTGATTTAACCGTAACTGGTTACACAAGTTGGTTATTCCATTTCGTGCCTTCTTTAATGTAACCTCTCGTGATTCGATACCCATTCCAATATGAAATGCTGCAACAGCCCAATAGAAAAATTCGACAAAAACAGATTCACTTACATGCACCAAAATTAGTTGGCCCTCCTTTAGAGTCTGCCGACACAAACTGTCCAAGTGCGTTACTACCGCCATGAGCGTTTTCCTCAAATTGCACTTCAGCGACAATTATGTTGTCCTCCAAAACCGAACCACAATTTGTGCACACTGCATCACCTCGTGCTGGATCTACCTCGATATCGAGGCTTCCACAGTTCTTACACTTCCGACCCGAAGACATTGTCAGTGAAATATAAGAACCACTTTAATATGATTAAGTTATTAAAACGCCGTATACAAACGGTACACGCAAAACTTATCCGTAGCGTAGGCAGTAGGTATTCAATATTTTGTTTGCAGTTGAATATTTAATATCACACAATTAACCTCAAAAATGTAAATAATGGCAGTGATTATTGCACCGTATACCTGAATGCCAAAAACACGTGGCTAAACTGACGTAGGACCATTGAGTTATAGACTGGTTAACTTTTATAAAAAAACAGCGTTTTAACAGGTTCTAGGGGCATTTCAGATAACATTTGGCCAAATAGGCGTTTTTTACTAATTCGGACCTGCTGAACACGAATATCGATGTTGGCACCTCGAAATCTGAACAGGAAGTCCAGAATTGAAGATGGCGGCCAATTTCCGAAAATGTTGATATGTTCACTCATGCGACCGATTTTTTCGATCTAAAAACGGATTACAATGTTATTCCTGACGGAGGTATGGCACGATAATAATAGTGAACAAATGTTTAAACAATGATTTCATAGTTTTTCTAAAGCTTAATTTACATTTGGCAAGTTTACTGGCGGAAAGTACTTTCTGCCAGTAAACTTGCTACCCTATTTCTATTTAACTGGCACTTTCCGCGCATGACCTCATATGGAAGAATTTCCTTTTATTAGAGGAAAACAAAAAAAATCTTGTCGCGTCACCTTGAAGAGGCCTCATTTGACGGCGTGATTGCGAGAGGCTTCAATAATGAAAGAAAAGTTTTCTGTAACCGTCAGACGACACAGATTTCCTCCTTAGAAGCTTTTCACATCAAGGAAGCGGATACTAGAAAAACGCTACAGATACAGATGCATTCCTGTTGCTTCTTCATCACTTCGAGGTTTCAGGAGCTGCGAAGCTTTAGATCTAACAATTCTGAACTCCATTCTCTTGCGATTCCATCTAATCTTCTCTACCATTTCATCCATTTCCATCATTACGGCATATCAAATGTAAATCTCAAGATGTACTTTTTTTGTATTGTAATTTGTATTCACTTTTCTATAGGCTTTCATCCTTTAATAATAATAATATATCCTGAGGAACGGTAATTAATACCTAGCAAAATAAGAATCATCCGAAACACCGCAGAATAGTTGGACTCCCTTCATTTTTTTCATTTAAAAATTAACGCAAAATTCGAAAGATTGTAGTTATCCAAACTTTATAAGGAGAATTTGCAATATAAACGCATGTCGGGAATACTTATATATGTGTCAGGATTACTGGAAACAATCGTTTTGCAAGCCCTCCTTTTAGCAAGGGGAACTGGGAATTTCGAAATTCTTAATTTTACGCATCCTGCATCCTCCTATTACATTATTGTTAAAACAATAGTTAACTATTATTATCGTGAAGTACCTCAGGAATAACATTATAATCTGTTTTTAGATCGAAAAAATGGGTCGTTTCTAACGAGGAAATCTGTGTCGTCTGACGGTTACAGAAAACGTTTCTTTAATCATTGAAGCCTCCAGCAATCACACGACGCACAGTAACTAAAATGCTTGCCAAAACAGAAATAATTTAATACTTTCACGATGTGAAAAAATTTAAACAGTAGAAAAAAAGGTTTCCACTTTTACGCACTTTCAGGTTAGAAAAACTATGAAATCATTGTTTAAACATTTGGTCACGATTATTATCGTGCCGTACCTCCGTCAGGAATAACGTTATAATCCGTTTTTAGATCGAAAAAGTCGGTCGCATTAGTGAAAAGATCAACATTTTCGGAAATTGGCCGCCATCTTGAATTCTGGACTTCCTGTTCAGATTTCGAGGTGCCAACATCGATATTCGTGTTCAGCAGGTACCAATTAGTAAGAAAAGTCTATTTGGCCAAATGTTGTCTGAAATGCCCCCTCGAATGCCCCTAGGACAGAGAATCTTCGAAAAGTGAACCAGTCTACTAAGGTAAATCACATTTTAAAAAAACGACGCTACCCAGCCGCTTAAAAAAAACGCCTGGTTAGAAGGGGCTCTAATACGTCCAAATAGATGTTGTAGGTAGGTATTTAAATTAGAAACACTTGTCATTCATCGTCTACATGTTTACAAATTCTCCTTCGGTTTTTGGCATACTCAAATAAATGTCGTGAACCCATTTCATCAGCGCGTCTCCTACTCTCAGTTGGAATCTTCTATTGGACATAGAATCTAGAGTATTGTTGCAATGTCCTTTTAATCCCCGAAGTATTAACGTGTGTTTGACCCGTCGTCAGGTTATTAGCGCTTTCACTGCAGTTTGCAACAATAGAAATCGGGAAAAATTCATGAGTGAAAAAAAGTTAAAAAGACAAAACAAGGTACAAGTCTTGGTTTAGAAGAAGAGGGGCGTATGTTTCAAAGAAGTAAAACAACTGCAAGGGCACGGTCACAAGGACGTCGTCAGAGGGGGGCAACTGCCAAAATTAACATTAAGTATTGTAAAACGTCGAATTCGAACCCCACCCGAAAATGAGTTCAGTCTAGCTTTGCCAGGAAATAGTTCTAAACCCGGAAATGAGTCCAGCCCAAGAACTAGTTTTAAGAATTGTACATTTTATAATTGTAATGGGGTCATCCCGCCTTCATTTTTTATTTCTGATCCACAAAGTACATTAAAAATAAAAAGACCCGTGTGTCCTCAATTTTTAATTGCGAGTAAAATAAACCCAAAATGAATTATTGAAAAGCTGTGTTTTTAGTCCGAATTTGAAACGCTGTTTAATTTTCAATTTACGCATTGAATTGAATATTGTCATATTTGTTACGTATTAAAAAATGACAATGACAACTTTTCTGTACAAAAATTCATTTTTTAATTCAGCTTTTGATTGATCGATTAAAAAAAAGTAACATTATTTGATTGGTTCAAAATAATCGAGATGAATAATTGTCCAGACTCTATAAGGTATACAAAAACTAGAAACACCTACGGCTCTAACAATAATTAATGTAGGTTGTAAAAAAAGGTAGCCATAGTCGATTCCACGGTAGCTTTGAGAGGTACGGTGACACTCTCCGGTCTCTCTGTAATGAGAGGTATTAAGTGATACCAACAAGAGCATCTGTCTTGGGAATATCACCTTATCGGTTTACTGTCTGAGCAGCGTTACAAATCGGTTTTCCCGGGAAACATCGGACTACCCACAGAAATGAGTATATTCGTTGTATATAAGTAAGTAGTTGCAACACGCATAGTGTGAGAAGTAAAAACCAAGTTGTGTCTTGAAATGCCTAAAACTTGTTTTAATAGAAACCTTAGTGTTGATGTTTGTGGCAAATGTAATAATGAAGGCTATCATAAACGACATTGGTGCAGGAGTACAACCAATTTGCAAAAAATAATTATTTTTCTATTGCATATTGTGGATAGTAGCATAGACTATGATAAAGTTGCGGTATTGGTTAGCATAAAGTTCTTGCAGATATGCCGCTTGACTGATCTTCGACTATAATCGACTCGAAACCCGTATTCTTACCTACAGGAATGATCTGTACCTGCAATCACCTTTTGTCACTGGACCTGAAAACATTAAACGTGTTAAAGTAAAGTAAATCAATAAAATAAAGGTATGTGCGCCGGTTTCGCTAGGGTGTAGGGTCCTGTAAGAGTTTATACAATTAGAAACTTACAAGATTTTAAAAGTTATCTGAACCCGGCCTCTATGAGTGGACGGTGGAATCCCTTTCTCACTCGTTCTATTCTGTCATTTAAGTTACGTGTACGCATATATGGCAACGGTAACACGAGGTGTCGAAAGTCCTTAACTTTGAATATCGAATCAAATATCATACTAGCATTGAATAATAGTTATTTATTATACAGATGCGGGTTGTATTTTTCCAATTTTCCGTCTTTAAATGAAAAAAATTGGAAACTAATAAGTAGGTACGGTTGATTGGTGTAAAAATTTTTTTCTACGAAAAACCTTAATACATTTTTGCTCTAACATAATTTGGGGAGCCCATAATCGCATGTTAGGAATTTTACATTGAAATCTGATGCGTTACGTAAAGTCACCACCCTGTATAAGGCGATAAAGGGTAAAGTGTATTCTACACGATTCTATGGTTTTTGAAACCTAATTAGAAATCTGTATCCCTTACCCTAGATGTAAAAATCGCAATTGCTCTCCTAAAACCATTGTTTTCCTTCATGGAAACAGTAGAGCCTGAAAAACTGCAATAAACTGTTCGATGAACAGTTCCTGAAATAGACCATTCTAACCTTGATGTCATAATATCTTCTTTAATTAATCATATAACAACATAATTACTCTTAAATAAGACACAATACCTGGTGAGAGGTTATCAAGTTGGTTTCGAACGTGAAACAATTAAAATAATAATGATAGTACCCATAATAATACTAAATTTCAAATACATTTATATTTATAAATAATATTCACAGATGAATTTGATTGCATAACGAATTAACCATTTGATGTCATTTAATTAATAGTTACAAAACACTCTTCTTTGATTATATTTACAAAGGCAGAAATAGTATTTACAATATTTACAAATATACATAAACTCTTTGATACCGATATTTAACGACTAGAAATAACCGCGAACCTTTTTCTTACTTGAGTCAAGTCAATAAATTGATTTACTTAAATGAGAATCTATTTTATGATAGATGAATATCACATTCATTTATTTAACGTTAAATTTTCGATTTACACCACTATCTATAATTTATTTATTTCACTTTTAAGGATGATTTGTGAAGTATGAAACCAAATTATTAAATAATACAAAAATGTATACGAATTAACGTTCCCAATCTGAATGAATAGGCAATTTGTCGACTGTTTGGAAAGAAGTGCTATCGCGGTAGGTAGGTGTCATACTGTCAAAGGTACCGTAACAAAAAAGGCGCTGTCATGGCGCATACGATCGGAAGCGCAACAAATGAGTATAAGATAGTCTCTGACCGCCAATAATTTATTATACCATGGCCAATAAGCGATTTGAGACCTCGAAGTCCTGCACGGAATAAATTTTAAACAACGCACTGGCATGGGATGTTAATACGTTTAACGACTTTATAGTAGTTTTGACAAGTTGCCTATACTAACAAATGTCGTAACTGAGAATCATCCTTAAATAGTAGCAGAGTGAGTAGGTACCACATGTATGATTTACTATCAAACGCAGTACTCACGTTTTCACTCCGATATAGTCTCAATAAAAATGAAACTATGATGAAGAGATATGTTGCTACATTTTAAATCTATAGTAGTAACTTAACATTTTTATTTGGATTGTTGTTGCGAGTGCGCTTTTATTAATGGAAGAAATAAACAGCCCTGTCTCAATTGTCCTTTGGATGTAGCAACGTATGGTTACTGTAAATTGACGTATCATATAGGTTTTAAAGAGCGATTTAAGTGGATTGGATACTCATAAAGTCAAGATCTTAGATTTATATCAACCAAATAGTGCTAGTATCAAAGTACAAACGAAGATTGAAAATTAAATTTAAAAAAAATTAAATTTTTAACAATGATATATACCCAAGTACGTTAAATACTAGGTACAACATACCTTTTTTGGTTATGGAGATAAACGTGTGTGAGCACTGTTTTAATTATCATCTTGAAGAAAATTGCTATCTTTGGCAAGCTTCTAAGGAGGCCACTTATATCGCTTTTGCATTTTTTTTATTCTCATGCGACCAAAAACGGAAAATGACCGGTTTATTGAGGAGATACCACTTTAATCGCTCTTTTAGTATTTCACTTTTTATGATATCGATAGGTAAATTGAAAGGTATACTTATCAGTACGTATTAGTTTAAATCAATTACCCTTCTCGTTGTGAACTATAAAATATAGATAAAAAAGATCGCATAATACAAAAAGTACAAAAATCTCATAAAACTACAATAAATAGAGAAAGGAAGCAAATACAGTCATCGAAACTGTATTACCCACACCTTCTCTAGATGACTAAATATCATAAATATTGTACAAATCCGCGTTAAAAAATTTTACACTCCTTAAATTACAACGAAGTTACTTGTCAAACAGTACTTTCACGTTTATTAACCATTAAGGGAGTTTCTACAGACGTTTCTTCATCGGCTCCGTTTAAGGGTTGTAGAGGTATAGGAGGTTCTCTGGGCGTCGGCCGAGGCCTTGGCTGAGGATGAGGACCACGATATTGGGGTACGGGGTAAATGTTTGGAGGTAAATGTGCAACAGGTCCGTACTGCCATTGTTGGGGTGCTTGACGAGGCAGTGTGCACTGAGGATACGGACCCATCATAGGTGCCTGAAACAACAAAATTTAATCAGTTTTGATCGACAAAACAAGTTGTTTTAGTTTAATGCATCGACATAATATGTTTATAGTCCAGTCTAATTAGCTTTAAAAGTAGTTTAAACTGGATATTGTGATTTCACTCAACGAAACCAAGCGTATCCTATGTAAAAAAATCCGGTGAATCGGAAAATCATAGGCCCCCTGATGGTCGGAAACGCCCGGAACATATTGTTATTAACAAAAAACGAAGAAAAAATGAGAAAATGTCGTGTTTTTTCGCATTTGACTTCGAATATCTCGTTGACTATTGCTCTGAGGGAAAGAATCAATTGTTATTGTTTTTTACGAAAAAATGTGAAAAATTAATCTCTAAAATTAACAGTTTGTTATTATCAAGTAAAATTCATCCGATCTTTTTGAAAATCCGTATTTAGTAACTTCTTATGATAACAAAACAATGTGACAAACCCGATCACCGTAGGTTTCATAGTAATTGATTAATTAAATAAACAATTTAAAAAAGGGATGCTTTCTTTGTGTTTCAAACTGGGGGACTACAAGAGCGTTCTCAATTTTTTTATATATAGTTTAACCCTAAAATAATCTTTTCCAATAATTGTCTCGATGATTCTTGCAAATCGACGGACTGTAGAATTTCTTTCGGAATTCGAAGAATTTTCTTAGTTAACAAATGGAATAACTCCCGCAATATAACAAAAAATATAACTCCATAATAGGCGAATGGAAAGCTCTCGGAAAGACGTACCTTAAAAAAAATACGTCCAAATCCGATTAATAGTTCACGAGAAATCAGCTTTTGACTTTGATGTCAGTTTTCGAAACAACCAAAAATGATTTTGCAAATCGGGTCGCACAGATCGATTTTTTAAAGTGTGGATTTTTTTATGCTTCTATTTCACCAAAATGAATGATTTTTATTACTTCGAGTGCCAAGGGCCGATTATACAGTTAACTTTCTTGTTATATCTCGGAAGCTATTTCATTTGTTAGTTAATTAAAGAAATTCCACAGTCCGTTGATTCGCAAAAATTATCGGGTCAATTTTTGGAAAAGATTGTTTTAGGGTTAAACTATGCATAACAAAATTTGGAACGCTCTTGTAGTCCCCCAGTTTGAAAGACAAAGCATCCCTTTTTTTAGTTGTTTAGTGTGTTCCGGTTTGTTATATTGTTATATTGTTTTGTTATCAAAAGAAGTTACTAAATACGGATTTTCAAAAAGATGGGATGAATTTTACTTGGTAATAACAAACTGTTAATTTTAGAGATTAATTTTTTACATTTTGCCATAAAAAACAATTCCTACATATACTCGTATTTCAATAGCTGTTACTTACTTTCCATATTGCCCCTAATGGAAAATATTAAACGTTGAACCCGCATACACTATTTTCATACAATGTTTGCTTAAAAATGCGGCTCAACGTGGTTACATGCAGCACTTCTTATAGGAAAGGAAATCTATTTAAATCGAAAACTGACAAAAATATTTTCGTATGGTCTTCGAAAATTACGCCTAACAGGTATGAAAATTAAGCTTTTCGTTATTTTCTAGAGGAATGCGGCCGAAAGCAAAACAACAAAGTACCAATTTATTTCTTCTTTTATACTTACATCAACCATAGGTATGCACATTTTATGGCGTCATACAGCAAATTGATTACCCTTTACAAAGGTCTTAAAAAGAAAAACTTGCATCGATTTCCGGTTTAACCGGAACTGATACCAGAAATTTCAATCGATAGATCTGGATGTCGCATACAAAGATTATAGTTGACCATTAAATTGTTTACTCTCGCCAGATGAAAGAGATAATGAGTTGACCCGCATATTTCGAACACACCGTATATCCATCCGGAAATCCAAACATGTTTTCCATGTCTACAAATCACACTATTTTTCCTTAATTTTGGTAAACCGTTCCTTAGTTCAAACCTTTGATTATACAGGGTGGTGACTTGCGTAACGCATCATAGGAATTTCAATGTAAAATTTATAACAAGCGATTATTGGCTCCCCAAAGTATTTTAGCCAAATTGTATTAAGGTTTTTTGTAGAAAAAATTTTTTTTAATTGGAACAATAAAACCCCCATCTTTTTCAATAATCTGCGATGCCATGGAATTTTCTAAAACAAAAAGATATCCAGTTATCAATTAGCAGCAGTTCGAAATGGATTTTATGATCGACTTGGTTACTGTCTTTGCAGTTAATGGTGACATATTCGAACACTTATTGTAAATTGTTATATTAGGAAACCGTTTTTAGTAATTTGGTCTTTCTTTATATTGAATTCGCTGTTCTAAATATAATACTTTTTGATAGAATTTGATTTGTTTTATAGCAGACATTCCATGGCATGACGGATATTGGCGTTCTTTTTGTATTATAAAATTCTATGGCATCACAGATTATTGAAAAAGATATTTTCCTATTTTTCCAATTTTCCGTCTTTATTATGCAAAAAATTGAAAACTAATACGGTTGATTGACGTAAAAAAATTTTTTCTACAAAAAACCTTAATATATTTTTGCTTTAAAATAATTTGGGGAGCCAATAATCGCATGTTATGAATTTTACATTGAATACCCTATGGTGCGTTACGCAAGTCACCACCCTGTATAGTCTATACTCAAAGGTTCAAACCCCCAGGTTGAACCATTGCTAATTTTAGAGAATAATTTGAGACTACTTGAGAGAGGTTGAGGACGGCTTATAAATAAATTGGCAGAAATTGGAGAGAAACAAAAATGGAATTTGAGGAGAACTTGTGAAAGATTGAATAGAAGCTTAAAAATTTGAGGTAAACTTAATGGGAAACTGAACGATACATGAAGAGAGCACAAGCAAAAGGCGAAAATAATTCGATAGGTAGAACTGTGAGAGGATCTTGAGAGTTCAGAAACTCTTTAGAGAATCTAGAGACGAACTATTGTAAGACTTTACGATGACTTGAAAGGAAATTGGAAAGAAGGAGCTTCAGATGAAAGAAAAAATGAAAATGTGAACGCGAAAATAATTTGTGATTGGTGAGTGCCGACAGAAGTAACTACTTCTTCCTCTCCCGCAATTCTTCGCTCCTTCTTTTTGCCGCGATGTATTTTAGAAAAAAAAAGCGTGGGGTTGGGTTCGAACCTGCATAATCGACAATCGTAAAAGTGTTGTAACAAATCTCATATTCGGATGCACCACTCTGAAATAGTTATTTACATAAAAGTCGGGAAAATATAGTTTGCCGGCGAGAGGCCCCTTTGGGGCCGAGTACTTTAATTTCCGAGGCAGGTAATGTCATTTTACTGACGAGTTTTGTATTAAATTTTACCCGAAAGCGTATTTTAATATAAAATCTCAATTTTCTGTAAATGATGACAGGAGTCATTATAGATATTTGGAAATGTCAAAAATGCAGCCGGGAAAGTGACAGGCGGCAGGAAACGTAGTCTGCTCTGCCTCTGTCATGGAAACTAAAATTTTCTGACAGAAAGTAAGCATGAAAATGAAGGTTTCAGGACGATTTTGGGTAAACAAATTGAATGAATTAAATTAAAATTCACCCACAACTTCTCAAGTAAAGATACAATTTGACGAGGTAAAATAATCACTTCATACAGTGTATCAAGCAAGTTATAGAGTGGACAATAATTTAAATAATTCATCCATCACAACGGCCCGTCGGTCACTAAACAAAAAGATGAATATAAATTAAATCATAGAAAAGATTTCGAGGCTTGAAGGCAAAGGAAGTCACTAAATAAAAATCTCCCCTTTTTCAATAATGCAAAAAAATTGTGCTCGGTTAAGTATAAAGGCTTTTCATAATATATTTAAGTTTTGACAAGGGACATATTAGTTTTCCACCTGATGGATTTAACATTAATATATATCTTGGTATCCCAAGCAACAGTTACCCTTCCAGATAGATTATGGTGGGGGTGGCTGAAGAGAGAGTCCGATTTTCACACACTGTGACCACGTGAAAGAGGCGTTATTGATCATCTTGCGAAAGTTGCGAGATTTTCGCGTGCTTGGTTCTTAGATATTCTGAATTTGCATTTGCCATACATATTGAGATTGATCTGACTCGCATGACCTCACGAACATAACCTTTGGGCTTTATCAATGCTACCAACCTAATATGGATTTTGCATTCAACTTAAAATTAGTTATAGATTTTTGTAAATCCATAAATATAGGTAATCCAAATTAATTATTTTTCTGTTGTTGGATGCGTTGGTGATGACAAACTATAGAAAAGACTTTTCTTTTATCCTTTACTCAAGCTATTTACACGGTACGGCGTAGCTATAATATTTCACCCGTTGACAGGATCAATGAAGGAATTCTTAAATTAAAGTTCGAAAATTATTAAATATATTGAATGATGTAGGTAATAAAATGTAATTTGGGTTCTACAAATTGGTAACGAAAAATTGACAAGCGCGTAATTTTATTGTCGTTAGCTCGTTACACCAGAAAACGGCAGATAGAACTCATTAAAACAAACCATTGTCATTTTTAATTCCAATTTTTGATTTGGTGCCCCAGTTAGAAGTTATTGGCGTTCTTTTGTTTTTTCGAACAATCGTTATCTCCCCTAGCTAATTTTAAGGACGATTGAAAAAAACAAGAATTTAGGCTTTCGCCTCTCTAAAACATTTGTATTTATAATTATTTACTATTTTTTCAAATAACAAAATAGTAGCCAACGCCTTTATTTTTTTCACTGATTAATAACAGGCTGAATCTTCGTGAGTATATGTTGCGTGTCACGAGACGGCCAGCTTTTCCTCTGAAAATTCTCGATGGAGGTAGCTAATGGTCTGCGCAGGTGTTAAAAACTTCCACGCGCAGGACTGGGGATATATGAACATTTCACTGTACATTTACTAAGCTGCATACAAAAAATCAGCACGTTGGGTGGTCTGACCAGGAGCGTCCCCGACTCAGAATATCTGGAAAGGAGGGGAAGGTATCATTAATATCATGAACTTCCTAAAAGAGAAGGTAAGAAACGTATATTCAGGGGAGAAAGGGAAGCCGGATTGGAAAGTTCGTACGAAACCGCTGGCGGCCGTGACGGTGGGAGTTTCGCAAGGTTCGGTCTCGGGTCCCATATTCTGGAACTAGGGGCTAAGACAAAAAAAAGGAAATTTGGGGGTCGAAGTGATCGCGTTCGCTGACGACTTAAACCTAATCGTTTGGACGAGGAATCTCGGAGTGGCGGTTAGGTGCTTAATGGGGAGACCAGACGCGGGCTGGGTGGGGAAGGGGATTTACTACCTGGCTCTAATATTGAACAGGGGGCCATATTCATTATAGGTGAAGCTTTGAGTCTAGAGATTTCTGGAATGGGCACTTCGAGACTAGTTCATTCACATACTGATTCCCTGGGTAAGGAAATCACATGGGGAACCGGGTTATGTTCTCACACAGTATCTAACGGGATACGGGGAGTTATGGTGGTATGTAAAGAAAATTTAAAAAAAGGACGCTGACACATGCGAGAACTGTGGGGAGGGAGGCACTTCTTTTTCGAGTGCCGCAGATGGGGTCCAGAAAGCGACGAGTTAGCTGTTAGAGGCAGCACGGTCAAACCATCAACGGTCATCGAAGTTATGCCGTTTTGACTGAATAAAGTGATTATTGGGTCAGAACTCTGGGTCAGAATCATCAAGCCATCTTCGCGTTGTGGACGGAAATTTTCGCAGCATTTCCAAGAAAAAACGATGGCGTTGAACATTTTCCGCGAAGCCACGCCTGCTAGGATTCTGTGACCGATCCGTGCCGTTAGGCCTTATCGGCGTGCAGGAGGTTGAACCAATTTCATTCTACAGTGCACGAGCATTGAGAGTAATAATTACATAAGAAGAACCACCCCAATTTAATTGAGACGTATTAAGATTAACCAGAGGTGGGACGAATCAGAAGTAATTGTAACATCCAGTACAGTATGCTTAATTAAAAGTAAAAATAAATTAAATAAACAATAAACATTTACTGTTGGCTTTAAGTTATCTCAAACTTACCATTTTTTGTTGAGCTGGTATTTCATGCAACGGAAGTCCATTGCGTAATGTACAGTATCCTATATAACCCCCCGAAGTGGGGGTTGCGTGTAATAAACTTCTACTAGGCGACGTTTCTATCGTAGAAACGTGTTGTCGTTTTCTCGCATAATCACTACCATCGTCGACATCTACAGGTTGTGGTATAATATCGGGATTCTTCTCATCACTGTCGCACTCTCCGCCGCTTGAGTCGTGTTTTGATATTGGACTTCCACCTATTAATGATGTGATTTATTAGTAGGTACCAATTAATTGTAACATATATAATTGAAAATGAAAGCGTGTTATTGAAGAATAGTTAAAAGACACGCATATCGAAGGAAGCGTACTTATTGCTATTCAATTATAAATACTTTAGGGCTACATTACGAAGGATGCAACAGAGGTAGAGACTAAGGTAGAAATGGAACATGTTGTAGGAGGAACATGAAGAGGGGAAGGTAATGTCGAAATGAAGAAAAGGTATGGCAGGAGATATGAAGGCGATAGTAAGTAGGGGCACAATTGGAGATACTAAAATAAGCAATGTGCCTACTAGGTTTGTACAGCATATTATTCTGTAAACGAAATTTGGTTTCCCAGATCAAAATTGGCATAGAAGTCACAAAGAAAAAAAAACCCTATTGATTTTGAGGGGTCTAGATCAAATCCTTAAGAAGACAGTGAGGTTAGGTAACAGCAAGATAGTAATAATAGTCATAATAAATGTCTTTATTGATTAGTAGTTCTGCATTTGATCTTTACTAAATAGGCCAAGCAATTATGTTTCCTCCCTAACTCGTTTTTTTGAGGCATTTCTAAAAACTACTAAAGAAACTGCACGTATGGTCTTAAGAACATAGTTATTGAATAAATGTACCTATCCCTTTTGTTTTAAGAAAAATGTATCTCACCTGATTTGTCCGTAATTGCTATCCCGCTAGTTGAGCCTCGATGCTCCGTGCTTCCTGAAACGGCGGCTACGTTTTTCTGCCTTTTCCTTCTACCCTCATTGTGAGTACATTGCAATCGCAGCACGAGGATAATTACTAAGGCAACAATGAGAAGGGCTGATATTACACCTATAAGTACGCTAGTCATAGGTGTGAATCTGAAAGCACTCCTGGTGTTATCTGAAATACGCTTTTCCGTTAAAAATTTTCCAAAGTTGGAATTATTTAATACCCTTTTCTGCGGTAAGTTGCTTCTCGGGGAGTCGAAGGGTTGCAGCCTGCAATACAACGGGTTCGCTTCGACCTTTCGTGTTGAATGAATATAACCCTGCTTGATAATGCGCTCCCGGATCAAGCCCTCCCACAGAAAATCGAGCTACCGGCGACGAAAGATTACTTTTCACTTCCTGCGTTTGACTTTCCCGCACCTTCAAAAATAAATAAACAGCGTAAAGGATGGTGTTTGCACCGAACACTAATTTAAATTCGTCCTATCTTCTTTAAATTGGTTTTAAATTGGACATAATTATTGGAAGTTGTTTGAATTGCTGATTTTGTTCAATTAAAAATAAACGCAAAATCGGATTCTGACGACTGCCATTGGATTTTATGAATAACTTGACGGCGTGCTTATAAAATTCAAAATTGTGTTAATGCACACGACCCTTAATTACAAGCGGTCAAATTCACTTTTTGATATTTTGTTGGTAACCTTAATAAAGCCAATTCGAAAGTCTGTGGCATGTAATTGAACGTCAAACATCCTTTTCCGTGTTGCCAGTTCCACGTAATTGGGGCTTACGGGAGCTTTATCGCTTTTAATTATATTTTTCGTTACGCTATTACGTTCCCAGCTTCCCACCAATTTTTATTAGTATCTATTCAGAGAAAAATAAATGAGAAGCATGCCGCTTTACTTACTTCTAATAAAAAAGATTGCGGTAGTCCTCCATTGAAACCCTCCGAGCATTTGACTGAAAATGATGACATCGAGATATTTGATATCGAGCAATTGTGGACTTGGTCAGGTCGTCCTGAAATGAAAATATATTTAGATTACTATTGACTCCGTGCGTGCTACAAAAAGAAAGATTTCAGTGAATTTTCCCTTTACCATATACTTATGGGTCAATTCAATCTTACTAATGAATGTCAAGACACATTTTCAATGTATGACAAATAACTCTATCGACGATGACGTATGCTAGATTGTATTTTCATTTTTCATTGTTTAGGTGCTGGTACCAGTACGTAAGAAGGCTAAAAGGCTAAAATTTTAAAAATATATTTTCTTAAGTAAGAACGTTGAAATTATCCAGTCTCCGCATAAGCATCATTGATTTATGCCATATGGAATATTTTTGTCTTTACTAGAAGTGTCTATGGTTAACATTTCCAAGAAATATCTCCATAAAGTTGACATTGTGCAGTCTGAGGTTGCGCACATTCTGATTTTTATGATATGTGATACTATGTTCCTTTTCCTTCATAGTCCAGGCAAAAAAAAATGAAAATTGTTAATAGACCTCTTGAATTCTTTTTTGATTTTTTTTGGAGCCTTCTAAGTTTATTTTTTATTGATCTCTCCGTCAGGAGTGGATAAATTCGGTAGATGTCATATCTATTAACGATTAATATCGTGGGTACAATTTTCGACACCTGAAAAGTATCAATAACCAATCACTGAGATGTAAGAGCACTAATTTGATTATTTATGGAGGTCTTTGAAATTTTAACCACAGATGCTTCTAGTAGAGACAACCATATTGCATATTGTAAAAATCAGCTAAGCGCATACGCAAACTGACCAATGGTAACTTTTTTATTTATGGAATTTTTTTTAAATTTAACCACAGATGCTTATAGACAAACATATTGCATATTGAAAAAATCAGATGTGCGCATGCGTAAACTAGGCAATGTCAACTTTCTTATTTATAGAGATACCTATATTTTGGAATTTTAACCATAGATTCTTGATTCTTGATTAGTCCGTTATATAACCTTTCGGGAAGTACTGATCAATTTATGGAAAATGCGGCAAAAGTTACTAGCCTTAAGGCGAAAACCTCTTTTTTACCTTTTCCATTTCAGCTATCCCATACATACACCACGTTTATTTAAGTGTTTTATCCCCGCAAATACGCTTATGCTTTCATCATCGTATACTCTAAAATATCACCAACATTGAGCCATTTCTAGTTATTATTATTCCAACATGTCAATAACCAAACCAGGAAAATATTCAGAATCGTATTCGACGATCACGTGGTCTACAATATCGTACTGGTCAGTTTCCGATCGAGGCTGATTTTTTTTATCAATTACTTCCTCATTTTTGATTCAATGTACTTTTTGCTGTTTTGTCAATTTTCTCTCTTCTTCTTTTCTCTGCTCCGTCTGTTTTTTCTCTAATTTCCTTTTGTGGTATTCCTGCCAGCTTGAGGAATATGCAACTGCCGGTAATTTTTCCCTGTGTTTTATGTTATTTCTAATAGTTAGTTGGTTTTCTAAAGAAGGCCAGAACAAAGTTTCTTGCATCTTGAAAGGAGTGGGCGTATGTTCTCCAGATATTCTCTTTATTGCTGTTTTTTTCTAATAATGTCTGATACTGTTCTTATCTCTGCCGTATTGTTTTTCTGTATCATTTATATAACCGTTTTATTTACTTTACAATTGTCATTATTTTGTACTCTTCGTTCACCAAGCGTTTGGTTGCCAATTGGATGATTTGCAGCATTGACCCCGTTTTCATTGTCCTCTTGTTCCGTGATTCCTTGATGTACCTCCAACAAGCTTTCATCGGTATTAATCTAATCATGGAGGTCAGTAGAATCTATTAGCATATCTAGTATCAACTTTTCTGCCGTAATATCCAAAAGTGACGAATCTAAGTTGCGTATTTAAAAATTGGCGATTTCTTTTCCACAAGATTCGAGAACGTTATTTGCGTCAGCAGATGCTTCTGATGAAACTGCTACGATAATTGGCGCTTCAATTATATACTCAGTGACTTCGAAACACCAAGGAGTGGGGATTTTTTACGAAACTTAAAAGCTATGGCAATATCCATGAATGGCGAAATCATTTACAGTACCCAATAACCCAAAAGCAGTGAAATCGTATTATTTGTAATAAGAGACGAAGCGGGAAATGGAGGTAACTACTGAAATTTATCTTAGAGAGCTTACAAATAAGTAATTGAACTTTTATTGGGTACTTTATTGTATGCTTAAAATATGTCACTTCTGATTTGCCTTCTTCAAAAGGAAAACGGAGAAAGCGGGTTAAATTAGTGTACTTGTTCATTGCCATGAAATTTTTATGAAACTTAATAAGGTTTCCGACTGAAAACGTATTTTAAGTAATATTAGGAAGATTGTAGAGCTTTCGGCTTTTGCAAGCATATTTTGTATTTACACGATGCTACCAGCTCATGCTGCTTAATTGATGTTTATAGTTCCATTTTTAACGTGTCAGAAAAGTATGTTGTAACAAAATTTTGCATTCAAAGTTAATTGTAACGTAAAGCTTTGTTTTTGTAATTGAGAAGCTTTAACCGAGCTTTGCAAGCGTTATGTAGGAAAATTGTGTTAAATATTGCTGCGGACCGCAAAGAGAAAACCTATTTCCTTTTTCAATTTAGTTTGTCACACGGAATAATGTATACATCTGGTGAACGACAATTACAGCGGCATCACATCATATTTCCACTCGTTACTTTTAACTATTTGTAAATACAGGTAAAATTTAAATTATAAATGCAACGCGTGTTAATTATGCAAAGGTAATTTCCGCAGAGAAGAGAGTAAACTTTGTTAAATGAAAACCTAACCACCTGATGAGGAAATAGTATATTTTTCTGAGGCATTACTACAAAAATGTAAATTTTAACTCAGTACTGGGTTTACTGGCATAGGTAGGTACTTTTGTAATATAGTTTGCCCCTGTCCGCACACTTTTTTCAAAAATAATATATTATTGTAACCAATATACACGATATACGTAGTAAGACAATAGGTGCCTATACATTGTGTCGAAGATAAGGATCTCGGAAACATAGCAGGATGATGGTCGAATTAGGGAATATTACGCTGTAATTGATATGACCAACTACAGGTTTCAAAATAAATAACCTTTTACATTAATTAATAATGAAAGGAAGTTCTTGAGAGCTCTCCAGAAACTTGTTACACATATAATTCAGATTATGAAACAAAATAAGCAATAAACAATATTTCTATAAACATCAAAATACTGCTGTTGTACATCCTTTGATGTTGTATTCGTAAAAGTAACGATTTTACTGACGGCTATTGTTATTGCATTTTCAGAAACCACAATCAACAATAATGAAGGGTGACAGTGTCATTATTAAGATTAATGTAGCAATTGTTTTTTACTTTCCTCGCCAGAGAGAAAAATCACATTTTCTTTAGAGACGAAAGTAATTGTTTCTAAAGTGGTTTCAGAAAAAATTGTGTGTAACACTTGAGAAGACAGTGCTTTTCAACCCAAGTTCAAAATTTGATACAAGAGCGTATATAGCTAGCGAGCGAACGAAAAACTCGACTTTCTTCTTTAGTTGTAACTTGTACCGCCTGCTACAACACATTTTCCTGCCTGGGATTCCTTTCGGAATAATTCATTAGAAATATATCAGACTAAATGTGCCGCACTCGCGCGACTGGCTAAAGCGTTGGATTCACTAATAATCAATAGTATCTGCTGTAAAAATTTCTTGGAAACCTCTCAACAAATTAAAATACTAACCTATTCAACAAAAAAAGCGCACGTTTCTACAAAGTCTAGTACTAAGATCTCAAGTACTCGGACGAGCGGATGGAATTCAGAGAAGTATTTTTCAAAAATATGTTAAAAATGTTCCAATACACTAAATTATACAGCCATGTACTACTTGCGTGACTCCAAGGGGGTTCATGATCGTTGTGGCAAATTGATTTAATTCCTTTTTATAAAGGGGAAATACTATTTCCCCACCCTCTTTGGTTACAGCTGTTAATATCTGTGCTTTTTCATTATGGAGGCTCCATAATGGAGCACAATTTTGGTTTACACCCTTTGATCTTGCATAATTGAATTCAACCGCGCAATAAACGCATTTGCCCCCTACAGACCTACATTATGCTTAGCATTGGCTGTTATTGCCACCCAATTAACGCCTGTCAATCTATAGATCACCTGTTAACATAATACCTATACATTTAGAACGTAATTGAGCATTCGTGTTTCTGCAATGAAAATCGGAAATCATTTGGATACCTAATTTATTATTTTAACAGTCGGTCGGTTTCGATGAACCTCAATAACTTCCGTGGAAAGTTTCAATTTTGCTGTTGGAGTTCCGTGAGTTTACCACGACAACCTTCCAAATCCCTTAAAACTACTCAAGCTGCTGCCAAATAACCGTAAAATATGAGTCTCCCGTGTTATTGCGCTTCTCATAGGTAAAACTATACGCTCCGAGGAGAATGGTGGAAACTATCTATATGAAGCCATTTATCCCAAGAAGGCATTGTAAAACGGCATAATTTCAAACGTGCGTCTTTGAATGTCTGCATAGATATGAAACTAATTTATTTTAACAAGTACTTTGAAAGCACCTTCAAGGTTTGAAACATTTCAAAAGCTTTAATTATCGCAGGCGAAAAATAGCTCGCGAAAGTATGAATTGACATAGTTGGCGTACATTGCAACCCCAGCGAACCGTAAACACGTTTCAAGCAACACTGCATTAGCCCACAAAGTTCGAAACAGAAGAAATTTATTTCTGTACTCTGTCGATAGTTTTCCTATCCATTCAAGTGTGAAAAGGAGTTGCTTTTGAGCGCTTCGCGATACGTATTTTTGTATGCTACATTTCGATTTATGGCAAACTTTTGAACGTTTAATCAAATTAAAATGTTATTTGGAAACATTCAGAATTTGAAATTATTTATTGTCGGATTCAGTGGAAATAAAATTTCGCTTTTTAAGAATAGAATTTTATAGTTGCAACAGTCCCTCGAAGAAA